GAGGGAGAGGGAGAGAGGGAGAGAGAGAGAGAGAGAGCGAGAGACAGATAGAGAGAGAGAGAGGGAGAGGGAGGATCCTAGGCATGAAACATCCTAGCGGCTCGCAGAATCCAGGTTAGCTTTCCGCCACGCCCACTTGGAGCTGCAGCGCTGCGAGTGACGGAGCTGCCTTGGATTAGAAATAATACTGGAGGTTCATGGATAGTGATAACTGGGGTTCCAAGTCCCCTAATGTGGGTCATAAGTACAGTTACTTACCCTACTTATAAGCAGTAAGCATGATTCCTTTACTCCCCACTGCAGCCACTACAACATATATGTACACTGACTTTGCAAGTGTGGGCGATTCCCCAGCAATAATCCCAAAGGTGGTGTTGGTCTAGCACAATGTCAAAAAACTTGTTTCTCATAGATGTTACTAGGTTTAGGGTTGACTGGTTTTAACGGGCAAAGGTTGTAACCGTAGTGAACTTATTTGATTAAGTGTAGGTTATGAATGTATCTAAATGCATTATCCGCAACGGTTCTGTTTGTTTCTACGACTATATCCTATGCTTTTTGTCGATGTGAATTTCAATTATTACCCTGTCATCATGCATGCTACAATAACCAGAAATGCATCGCGTGGTTCCAGATATTCCTGACGACTGTGCCTTTGTGAGTGTATTTATCCCGCATCTTCCTGCACTGGCTACAACATGTGTATCCGAAATCTTCAGCTGTCTTTGTTGTGACATCTTGTGCGGTTGAGCTCCACACCTTCTGCGTTGTTTGCACATGACACTATCCTTCACGCCAGTTTCTTGTTTATAAATCCCAAGCTTTCACAGCAAGCCACTGCTCGTCAACATTGGAATAGACACCTAGTTAGCTGCTAGCTTGTATCACAAAGTGACATCTTTTAAGATGCTCTATTTCCCCTGCCCCTGAAAATGAATGTTTTCCGTTCCAGCAAGGATGATCACCACAGTGAACCCAACATTGATGGATAACCTATCTCCCCACGAAACATCTTGTATACGACCTTATCATGTTAAAGGATTGGCTCCATTTGCCACTCGAACTTTCGACATTTTAGCTGTCACCTTTGCCAATCTCTCTACTTCGTGCTCCTAGATCAGTGTAGCAAGACTTTACCCCAAAGGCATAGAACACCCTCCGTACCTAACCCTCAACCCACAAGCCGATATCCTACAGACTTTGAACACAGGCTCCCCCGCGGAAACGTGCTCGCCTGGGCTCTGAAAAGTCAGCTCTCTTTCTTCGCGGCTGGTCTGAGAGCTTTGGGCTTCGCGCAAGCTTTTAGGGAGTAGGGTTTAATATAGGGGCCTGAATAATTGCCAACCTTGTTTTGGGGGTTCCTTATTGGGATTATGTATAGCATAATGGGCGCCAAAGCCCTATTTACGGTTTGGGATTTGGGTGTTTACGGTTGTAGGCTTTAGGGTTTACTGATTACAGGGTTTAGGGTTTGGTGCCTCATGAGGTCTTTTTGGGGGTACATTCATGCACATAGTCTACAACGGACTGTGCATAGTTATTGGGGATTCAGGATTTAGGATCGAGTGGCACTTAACCGTCATCATCATCATCATCATCGCCCCTAAGACCGAAACCTGCTAATCTCTGCACCCATACGCTAATCACTATAACCTCGATTAATCCCTAAACCCTTCAACGATGGTCGTACGCCCTATACGCTCGAAGCCTTGCAAGAAGCCAAAACCATGAGGGTCTCCATGTTGCGATGTGGTGTACTCCCACGGTGCTTGCAGCCGTAATACAACGCCCGACAAGCCTACCCCCCCC